ACTGCGTACGCCGAATCTCACGCATATTCTTTTGTACATCTGAATGAACGTGAAACTGAGCGCAACATGCACGAGCACAAAACCCCTCCCTGCCTCCTCCCCCGTATGAATATGCTAATGACTATGCTAATGGTAAAACCCAACGAAAAAGCAACGGCAAAATCAAGCAAAAAGAGAAACTTTGAACAGAATGTGAATTGGAGGTGCTGCTTTCGGAGGTAGACCGGAGAAAAGCGGTGTTATTTGCAAGTTTGTTCTCCGGAATTAACAACAAAAGAAAAAAATAGAGTGGGAGAGTTTAGCTGATACGGTTAACACAGTTGGGTCTGAACATCGCACTGAGTGCATTTAAAAAAGAAATAGTGTGGTTTATATCTGTAAAATGTTGCAGAACCCTTAGCAGTCTCAGTGGCGCACCTCATAAAAAGCATGTGATCATGTACTGACACGTTCGAGCAAAAACTCGGCTCGAATCCAGCGTCTGTCGAACTCTTTCTTCTTTTTTTCCCCGCTACATATCAGATTTTGCCCACTATTTATCACGAGAAAGACAAGTAGGAATCATCAATAAGTTTGTGCATCATATTTTATTTGCACATTTATTGAATGGAAATGTTTCTGATTCACGCATGCAAATTCATCTTCAGATAGTGTCTTTATAGCAATGTGTGTGCGGTAGATTGCTCAGATTAGATTGGGAAAACAGGCGACCGCTGCAAATTGTGCTTTAATGTTTAGCTGGTCAACTGTATGGTATGGACATCTTACATACCTACTAGATGAACCCGTCTCATACAGCTGCCATTGCAAGGATCAGACACTTTGTAGAGAAGAATTTAACACAACTGCCTCTAGGAGTCGCCAATGGAAATAAAACAGACACGCACAAAAAATGTGCGTACGCCAGCCAGAAAGCTGCCGTGAACCTGCGCACATTCCCACGTTCAGTTCATTGTTAGTAAATCCAAACGTGAGCGATTCTGAGCGTAAAACTTGGCGTACGCAAAGTTTTTGTGCGTACGCAGCGTTGATACATGAGGCCCCAGATGTTTCTTTCCTTGACCAAAACTGAGTAGATGCGTTTCTGATGCATTGATTAAGACCTCCAGCAGGCGGCAGTACTGTGGCTAAAAGAATTTGTAACTCTGTTCTGTTTTGTTTTTTTGTATATCAGGTTATGGACGAATTTATCCGTTGACAAGTAAAGGGAAAGTGGCATGTGTCCTGTATGCGATGGTGGGCATCCCTCTGATGCTGCTGGTCATCTCGGATGTGGGCGATCTCTTAGCTGTTCTCCTCTCCAAAGCATATACTCGCCTTAACCTGTTCTTCAGAAGATGGATAGGACATCAGTCATGGAGACTTCAGAGCCACGAAAAGACATCAGCTCTCCCACAAGTTCAAGCTGATACTGACGGCACCTATAAGTTCAATCAGGATGTCGTGGTGCTCGAGACAACAAACAATCAACAGGTGATACAAACTAGGTCTTCCATCAGGCGCGGGTCCTTTCAGCTCCGTAACAACAAAGAGATCTTTGACCGCATTATTGTAAGGGAGAGCTTCAGGATCAAAGGAACTCTTTCAAAATCCTGTTCATGCCCAGAACTGGACCGTGTGCCAACCCCAAAAGATGAGTTATTCAACGACATCGGACAGGAGATGGAGCAGTTGGACGTCCCTTTGCTGGTCATCTTGCTGATGGTGTTTGCCTACATGGTGATCTGCAGTCAGATTCTGAAATGCTGGGAGAAGCAGATGGACCATTCTGATGCCTTTTATTTCACCTTCATCACCCTAACCACCATTGGCTTTGGCGACATTGTGCCTGAACACCCAAAATTCTTCATGGTTACTTTTTTGTTCATCATCACAGGCATGGCCATTATGAGTATGGCCTTTAAACTTGGCCAATCGCAAATTGTTTGCTTTTACAGGCGGTGTATAAAGAGTCTAAGCATGGGCAAGGTAAGAATTCACAATGACTTAAACAACAACTGAAGGCAATCGGTTTCTGTGGCTTTGCTAATGGCACAAGAAGAAAGCTACTCCGAATATAAGATGGTAATGGGCTTCAATTTATGTTACAGCCAGTTTGATATTGTGGGTTGAAAGGGAATGAGCCACAGTACTGTTGCAGTAAACAAATACAGGAGAGAATCAGGCACAGGATGAAGTATGTTAACTATTTGAGCCATGAGAGAGGCCTCAGTTGTTTTATTTGGAAAATGGCATGCCATATTGTTTATTTTTGTTTAGATGTACGCACTAGCAATGCAGTCTAATTTAAAAACTCCTTTATTCATGTTGTCGCAATATATGTACTGTAACTCGTATAAGTCTGACAGGAATATATATGATGATATTAGACAGTGAGTTTGCTTTTTCATTCAATGGCAAATAATAGTGTACATATGATTCGCCTTTTTTAAACAATGCATCATCTTTTTCTTGATAGCATTAATGCTATATTTAAATTGGAGTGTGTCTCTTAAGTTAATTGATCCACTAATAAAAAAGCTAGCATGTAAATGAATTGACCGACCACCTGTGATGTCTTGGCTGTGAAATTGTACATAAATTAATAATGCACTTTGAAATTAAATCAATAAATATCTTTCTGTGCCAGTCATGAGTTTGTATTCCTTTTTAGTATTTCTTGAAGCATAACTGGTTTCAACTGGTGCTACAGTTCCTGCACCATTCAATAGCCCGTAGACAGCCTGGTGTAAAGAGATGTTTTTTTTTCTCAAAAAGAGGACCTTTTTGAAGTTTATTTGCCAATTTTTTTATTTAATTATGAGAACTATATACTGAATTTTAGGTATATTTTAAGCACTATTTTAGCTGAATTAGCTTGTCAGGTGGTCATCATAACCACACATTTTGATGTAGCCTACAAAAACTATTTCCTAAAGATGCAGAACAAAGAAATGTGAAAAAATACTTACTTTTAAATTTTAAATTTATTTCATCATTTATAATTAGAAAAATTAAGAAAATAAGAATCTGTTCAGTAATAAATGAAAAACGGTAACCTGTTGTCATTCTGTCACCGACTCGGTCCCAGTCATTCCCCTCTCTGGCCAGCAGAGGTCATCATCACAGGACTTCTAGACATTACATCATCCACTTAAACTGATAAGCACACACACCTGTTCCTCATCCCGCTAACGACCCACACTCACCTATATAAGCCACACTCTCACTCCAGTTCAGTGCTAAGTCTTGTTTTGCCCTGGCTAACACTACTGAGCGTTCCCTGTTCCTTGCCTGCTTTCCCTGTTGACAACTTTGGACTGTATCTCGACTCTGTCTTGCCTGCTGCCTGCCCTGAACTCTAGCCTTCATCCTGACTTTGATCCTTGCCTTTGACCCATGCCTGAATACTCACCTTGTGTTTGCCAGCCGCCAGCCCTTCGACTAACTACAACTGTGTTTTATGTGAGTTTGCACACGCTTAACATCTGTGTGCTGTTTGTATTAAACTCTGTTTAACAAATATACCGCAAATGGGTTCCTCTGTGTCAGACCCTCCATTACACATTCAATAGGTAAATATCAAACTGGCCAGCACATTCAATTTTCCTCAGTCAGAATTTGGCCTTTTGAATAAAAAAGTATTAAAATATAAATAATAATATTTAGTTACTTGTAAAATGTCCTGTATTTAAAAACAATACAGTAGCGGAAGATGACTTCACTTGCGTTTCACAGATAAATGTTGGACTCATGAAAAGTAATTGTTAGAGTTGGCCAAACCTGATTAGCTTAAGTTACACTGAAGTGACAGCCAGCAGTCTTAAAGCCTTTTCCAATAGGTTATTTTCACTATTTATGTTGGCATAGTAGTAAAAGACAAATAAGCTCATGTATGAGACAGATTCTGAACCATTGTCAGTGTGGGGTGGGTCTTCCAAACCACCCGAACCCCCCCTGGCTACAGCCCTGAGACTGATTCCCAAAGAAAACAACAAATAAAAGAATGTAGCTTGAACTTTACAGCATGTCTCAAGTGGTGTTACAGTTGCTTCCCCAAAGTGAGAGGTTTACTTGAACACAATTATGGTTCCTAAACCTATACTGAAAAGCAGTTTTCCTGCTAGGTTTAGGGTTTATCCAAATAAAAGTGTTTGTGCAAAAAGGAAGGTTTCACAATACAAAAACATCCATTTTGGGTTCCACAAAGAAATAATCTTTCTGAAAAGAGTTCCTGAAATAGCCAATTTAGCATAAAGTACATTTCGATCTACAGAAACGTTTATTGCACTTTAAATAACTTTTTGTGCAACTAACATGTTCAATAGATGTTAAAGGTTCTTTATGGAAACTGCTTTCATTTAAGAACCTTTCATTTTATGAACTCAATCATCTATAATTGAGTTGAACCAGCAGTTTCTAGTGATTTTAATGACTTTGGTTACCTGGTTCACGTGTGTTTTATTAGCGTTGGCGAGGAAATTAGCAAAACAGTGAAGTTCCAGGAACAGACTTGAAAAACCAAAATAATAAATGTAACATCTCATATCTTTCACCACCACAAGATGGCGCTAATGTAAAACTGCTGAAAAAGAGACTTTTGGTTAAACTAGATGATGCATTTGGATATTTTACCGATGCCAAACAGTTTGTTTAAACTCAACAAGTGAATGCAGCTTTCCTTCTGTAAATAACTTCCTAAGACCAGTCAAGCTGATTAAAACAACAGCATCATAATCTTAAAGCACATACATGACCGTGTGGAGACTATTCTATCTGCACACAATACAAGCATGCATAGCCTTCAAAGAACTTCCTAAAGAGAACTTTCTGAAGACCTCAAACATATGTTGGTATATGTTTTGAATAAATGGGTAAAATATACAAAATAAAAGCAAATAAGGTGATCCTGTCTATCTTTTATTTGTGTGTGACTGTGTGTGTTTGTGTGTGTGACTGTGATGGTTAATTCGTTCGTGGCACAGCACACCCCATTTGAGATCTCTGTGAAACAGCGTGACGTCAAACACCAGTCAAGCAACTAAAAAGCTCCGCATCCAGCGTGCCTTTCACCCGGGATCTGACAGCAAAGCTCAATGCAAATGTGCTTATAAGGTAAGAATGATCAAATTCTGAATATATCTATTTCGATGTATAATTCAGCCCATAATTTTAGACTTATATTTAAAATAAAAACTGAGTTGGTAGTTTATAATTTTCAGAGTGCTCAAGTGCACGCATTTATATTTTAATGCTTTGTTTATACTTAAATATTTGTCGTTTTCCTTACAATGGCCATCTCCTCGGGCGCCTCTCTTTGCAGGATCATTAAACACATTTTGCCTTATTAGATGTCACTGTGGTCTTTGACACTCGTTTTCTTGCTCTGTTGCAGGTTATTTCTCCCTCGCTCTCTGGCAGTTGGATTTTTATATTTAAAATGGGACTATTTGATGCTCTTAGAGATTTTAGTTTATTAACATGGCTAAGAGAAGAAAGACAGTCTCGGAGGCTGATTCTGTTGATCGTTTTCATTGCTTTGCTCTTGGACAACATGCTGTTGACGGTGGTCGGTGAGTGCTGTGTTGTTCACACACCTGTTACATGTGCGAGCACACATCAAACATGCATGCAAAGTGCTAAAAAACAATGTATTATATATATCACCTCATATATTGTCAGTGAATATTGAATAGTCCTGCTGAAAATGAAACAACAGAGCATCACATAATATCTTATATGGTTTCCAATACAAATATCACAAACTAGATAAATGTAACCATTAAAACCAGTACGTTTGAATGGCTTCTATAAGGTTTTGGGGCATTTTCCATTAGGATGTGTTGTTTTAACATCCCATCAATAGAGTGCAACAAATTATCTGACTCCACTATTACTTTACATTAAACCCAATATAATTTCCATAATAACATTACACATTTTCTGATGGTTTCCATTTTTCTCAAAAAGTCGAATAAGCACGGACCTTAAAATTAAATTGCTATATTTTATTTATGCATTATTTATGCATGCATTTCTAGGCTACACATATACTAAAAAAAGCAGAAGGAAAAATATTTCTAATTCTCGACGGCGTATAATAATGTGACTAGAATATGCGTGATTTAACCAAGATTGTAGATTATTCCTGGTTGAACACCCTTATTGATCCAGTAACAATGTGTATGTTAATTAGGCTGATGAATACACGTTGAAACCGTAAACATTGATGTTTGATTAAAAATATTTCCCCAACTTAAAAATGCATTAAAAAGTGAAATAACAGGCTAACATTTTAATACGCGACAGACAATTCACGAAATGCATTTGTCGATGCTACGCGATTGTAAACTCCAAACTGTCCCTGAATTAAGGTATCATGTCCTCGAGCGCTGCCAGATCTCCATCCGCGCGCGCGCTCTCTCATTGAATGTGACACTGACGCGCGCTAAACTGTCTCTATTTGTTCTCACGTCCGCGAGCCAAGAAACGGGGACGGCAATTAAGCTAGAAATACACACGATGAATACGTTGTGTGTGTGTAAATACAGATGGACCCAAGAGAAAAATGAACCTGTCGTTCTTTGGCACAAGTGTTGAGTGAAGAGGCTTTCGAGCGTTATCGCACACGGTGTCCCTGTGGGTTATTTACGCTTGATAATGTCAAACGCATCTAAGCAGACCCAATTGTTCACGTGAAAGGTCAAATGTGGTCTCATACAGCTTGATAAATCGTCGCACTGCACTTTTTCGAGCAAATAAGTGTTAAACAGCGTTTCTAGCTGTCTAAATCTGATCTGTGGTTTTCTGAACAGGTTATGAACAAGTCGAATGAATACAATAATGATTAAAACAAACACAGAAGAGGCTCTAATGGTTTAAAAATGCTATTAAATACATTAAAAACCACCAGACTTCAATCAATAAAACATGTTAATGGTATCTTGTGCGCTTAAGACACATTCCTTAAAATTAATTAGCTTTAACATGTCGCCAATAAGGTAAAACTAGGGACTCATTATTTTTCCATTAAAACCAATGTAACTTCCATTTGAACCATTGAAAGAAATACAAATTCTTGAATGGTTTCTAATGTTTTTTTCAGCACGGTGGTTATGTTGTTTCCTCTATTTCATCTCTCTAGTGCCTATTATCCCAAGTTACCTGTACACGGTGGACGACGAGGCTGCTCAGATGGTTAAGAATCACTCCATGACCCCTCTTTCTCCATCGAGCACCTTTCAGAGCATTGTGTCTTTGTATGACAACACCACACGTGTGACAGGCTTCAGCCCGCAGATGAGCACAGCTGGTCCAATGAGCCTGGCTCCTACTTTTGTGAGCCCTCAAAACCAGTCCGACTGTCCCAAAGCAGATGACCAGCTTCTGAACGAGAATGTGAAAGTGGGTCTGTTGTTTGCCTCTAAAGCAACAGTACAGCTAATCACTAACCCCTTCATAGGACCACTAACCAACAGGTACAGCCGCTAGTTTAACTTAAAAAAAAAAACACAGCAGTGTTTCTCTTAAAAGCAGGATGGGATTGCATGACATTTGTGTGTGTGTGTTGAGTGTAAATGGAGTGTAAGTAAGTTGAATATTGCTGTGCTATTCTGCTACAGCTCTATCTATTCAAGGATCAGCAGTAGTGTGATCACTCGTGCATGTGCCGTCATATCTTCACATGCTCAGATTTGGCCAATCCAGCTAAATTTGGCACCACAGCACTGAATGGATCCCACTAGAGCAAACCGGTGGCTTCATGTCAGAGTTATTCAACCATAATATATTACATAGCAGTGTACACGAATGATACACCAATGTTTTTTTTTCACAGAATTTGACAAAGCAAAAAAAAAAATACACAAAACACATTATATTTTATAATTCTTGTAGTAAAACAGCATCTTTTCTTATAGGAGATGTCAGACTATTGGGAAAATGAATGTTTAATCAATATTTTGTCAGTAAATTTTACATCCACAGCTACAAAAAACAGCAACACACTGAATTGAACATAAATTTTAAAGTAAATAAAAACTTCAATATTTTAAAATACTTAAATTTTCAACTCTAAAAACTGGTCTAACAGTTTCAATTTACTATAACTTTTATGTTGAGCTGCTTTGACACACAGTCTATATTGTGAAAACTATAGAAATAAACATGAATTGAATTGATTTAAAATAGTTTTTCATATAAATATTCCAAAAAACTTTTCATCCAGTCTTTACAACTTAATCACAACATATTTCTTTTCAGTGAAACACTGCAACATGTAACAAAACATTTCACTTCAAAATGTTTGTGAAAAAAAAAATGCTGATGCACTTTAAAGTTTTGCGTTTTATTCGATACATCCCTGAAGCATTTCTTATCTGTAATTGCAGAATAGGATACCAGATCCCAATGTTTGCTGGTTTCTGCATCATGTTTGTTTCTACGATCAGTGAGTACATAAAACATATATATTTTTAATGCTGCTTTTAACATTAATCTAATTTCTAAGAGAAAGCAGTTGAGAAGATCTTGCAGATGTGCAATGCATGATTTTAAAGTATGATAACAGCAGCTAAACTCTCTGGTGTGTCATATTCATACGATAAATGGATCTACTTTTCCTCTTTCTTCTGTCTGGGTTTTATTCTGTGTGAAGTGTTTGCCTTTTCATCAAGCTACACGCTGCTGTTTTTGGCCAGATCTCTGCAAGGTGTTGGCTCGTCCTGTTCTTCTGTGGCAGGTAACATGTTTTGTGCAATGTTATGTTAGAATTTAAAAAAAACCTGTCAAATGCTGCAATGAAATTCTTTATGATGCCTTATTTAGCATATTTTGCAAACCTGAGTGCACTGAATTGCATTTGACTTTGGTTTTCTTTGAATTCTGTATGCAAACATCTGCTGATAATGACAGTAGTGTAAAATGGATCCCATTCTCATTTAACCCTTTAAGGTGCACTACTTGAAAATGTTTTTTTTTTTTTTTTTAGCGCACACATGAATTAGATAATATACTGACACAACTCTGATAAATATTATGATAATCTATGATAATGATAATTTATGGACAAAAGGTTAACCAGCTGGTTACAATGCCTGTTAAAGGGTTACAGATCTTAGATCTGGATAGACTCTTGAAACTCCTAAGTTAGTTATTTCAATTAACAAATCAAATTTAATCAATGTTAGAATCTTAATAGTTATTATTAGAATTCACGTTTTCAGAGTTTACTGAATCAACCATCATACTGTATATGAATGTGGCAAAAGAAATGTTAATTTATTATGTCATATTATTATCATAAATTAAATGGTAATTTTAAATGTTTATACTGTGTTATTAACTATCCTTTTAATCACTAGGTTTGACCAATTTGTCAATAAAAGGTTTTTCATTCTTTACAAAAATTGGAATAATCATGATGATTCATTATTTTACAACTTTTAATAAGTCCACATCGAAAAAAACAGAATGTTTTGTTTTTACAATAATATTTCTGTTACTCTGAATGACAAAGAAACAGGGTTTTAACCTATTTTAACTTTTTAAAAACATTAGTATGTTCAAGTTGATAATTGCATTCTTTCATGTAAATTAAAATCCAAAAAGTTTGCATCTTAAACATATTTGTGCAAATCCCTTAACTGCTGTCTTTGGCGTTGTATATGATGATAATAATAATATGTCCAAAAGTGGAATGGCCTGCATTGCCCTTACTTCTCTTTTGGCACGACGCTTGATTTTATTCAATTTTAAACTTCCCTTCTTTTAAACAGTGGACCAATGATGTGTTGCATGTCCTTAGTTTAGAAATAATAAGACTTAAGTTAAATAGTTCAGGGTCCAAGATCACTGCCATGTGGTGTCCTTTCATAAATTACTTCCAATGCCAAATGTAATTGTAAGTGGACAAATTGATGCTGATGCTGTCAGGTTTTACTTGTATTCAACTGATTTTTTTTTATTTTTTATTTCCTTTGTGTTTAAATATTTAGTGCATTTGGAAAATATTCATAGCGCTTCACTTACTACACATTTTTGTATGTTACAACCTTATTTCAAAATAGATTACATTAATTTATTTAATGTAATGTATTTATTAATTTATTCAAAATTCTCCACACAAGACCCCTTAATGACAATGTGAAAAAAAAAATTTAAATGTTGAAAGATTATTAAAAATTAAAAAGCTGAAAAATCGCATGTACACAAGTATTCACAGTCTTTGCTCAATACTTTGTTGATGCACCTTTGGCAGCAATTACTGCCACAAGTCTTTTTTAATATGATGCCACATGCTTGGCACACCTGTCTTTGGGAATTTTTGCCCATTCCTCTTTGAACCTCTCAAGCTCTATCAGGTTGGATGGGAAGCGACGGTGTACAGACATTTTCAGATCTCTTCTGAGATGTTCAATAAGATTTAGGTCTGGCCTCTGGCTGGGCCACTCGAGGACATTCACAGAGTTGTTGTGAAGCCACTTCATTGATATTTTGGCAGTGTGCTTTAAGTCATTGTTCTGCTGGAAGAACCGTCGACCCAGTCTGGGGTCAAGAGCACTCTGAAGCAGGTTTTTATTTAGGATATCTCTGTACATTGCTGCATTCATCTTTCTCTCTATCCTGACTAGTCTTCCAGTTCCTGCTGCTAAAAAACATCCCCACAGCATGATGCTGCCAACACCATTTTTCATCGTAGGAATGGTATTATCCTGGTAATGAGCGGTGCCTCATTTTCTCGACCCGTAATGCCTGGCATTCACTCCATAGAGGTCAATTTTAGTCTCATCTGACCAGAGAATTTTGTTTCTTATGGTCTGAGAGTCCTTCAGATGCCTTTTGGTAAATTCCAGGCAGGGAGTAGCTTCCGTCTGGCCACATACAGGTGCTGAAGCTCAGACGGAATGACCATCTGGTTATTAATGACCTTACTGACTAAAGCCCTTCTCCCCGATCACTTAGCTTAGATGGCCGGCCAGCTCTAGGAAGAGTTCTAGGGGTTCCAAACATCTTCCACTTACAGATGATTGAGGCCACTGTGCTCATTGGAACTTTCAGAGTAGCAGACATTTTTCTGTAACCTTCCTCAGCCTTGTGCCTCGAGACAATCTTGTCTCTGAGTTCTACAGACAATTCCTTTGTCTTCATGCTTGGTTTGTGCTTTGACATGCACTGTAAACCCTGGGACCTTATATAGACAGGTGTATGCCTTTTCAAATCATGTCCAATCAGCTAAATTTACCACAGGTGGACTCTCATTAAGCTGGTGAAACATCTCAAGAATGATCAGTAGAAACAGAATGTACCTGAGCTCAATTTAGAGCTTTATGGCAAAGACTGCGAATACTTATAAGTACATGTGATTTTTCAGGTTTTTTATATTAATTTGTAACAATTTCTAAAAAAAATTTACATTGTCATTATGGGGTATTGTGTGTACAATTTTGAGGAAATAAATGAATTTAATCCATTTTGGAATAAGTTTATAGCATGAAAATTGTTGGAAAAGTGAAGCACTTTGAATACTTTCCGGATGCACTGTATGTACACAATGTAAAAGCATTGTTTATATGTATGTTGTGTTAGTCATGTTGATTAGTAAATGTATGTTTGTTTGTTTGTTTTTTGGACTATTTAAATAAATCAAAAAGGGTGAAAAGTTTGTATATTTTTTGCTGTACATTCTTCTGTAACTCCTGATAAAGCTGTCTGTTTATTATTGTGTAGGTATGGGGATGCTGGCAAGTGTTTACACAGATGACGAGGAACGAGGAAACGCTATTGGGATTGCACTGGGAGGACTAGCAATGGGAGTTTTAGGTGCATGATCTGTTTAAAATTCTTTTCAATATTTTCATTGACAATACTTGTTTGGCACAAGAGAAATTGACAAAGTCCTAGTTTACTTTTTGGAACTCATCCCATGAAGAGAGATATCATACGTCGGCGGGGTGGATATGCATTAAGTGGCTTTGACTTTAAAAAGCCCTGGAGCAGTGGTCAGAAGAACACAGTGCTTCCCGATAATGGCATCATGCTTTAATCTCAGGATGTTTAATCATTAATAGTCCATTATTTTTATTCATAATGTCAAGTGTTTAAAAATATATTTTTGATCTACTGGATAAGAGCCATCTTGCAAAACAGTGATTAAATGTTGCTGTCGTCATACTGTACTTAATCAAATGGAGAGCAACCGGAAAATGGAGCACAATAATTTTGATTAAAACATAAAACTATATTCATCCAGATATTTGTAAAGGTACTGCTCCTGCGGAACACATTAGTTTTTTTTTTTTTTTTTTTACTGTGGTTTGGCAATTATGGTTATGTACTTTGTTTTGAAGGGCTGTTAGTACTGGATTTGTGGCCTGTTTTAAAACAAAGCATCAAAACTTTTCAAAGAAACTTTGTTGGTTGCACAAGTCTGTGAGTGGTCACTCTTGTCTAATTTATACTGTATATTTGTTTGTTTTGTACAGTTGGTCCTCCATTTGGCAGTGTCATGTATGAGTTTGTTGGTAAAACAGCTCCTTTTCTTATCCTGGCAGTGCTGGCAGTGCTTGATGGAGGTGAGAGAATCAATATCTGTTCTTTAAAATCTCAAGATTCAGCGTTTAGATTTATGTTATGGTGATAAAAAGGTTGCTGACTCATTATAAATGAATTTCTGAACAATACTTCTGTTAATATATTAATATTTTTATGTGGTTTTTCTTTTCATCCTAATTTTTTTGAGTAGCTCTGCAGCTTTTTGTGCTTCAGCCTTCAAAAGTGGAACCAGAGGTGAGTGTCATAACCTTTTTACTAATCTGACCTAACCCTCTATTTTCCAACATTAGTGTTTGGTTTAGTTTATAGCAGTGATGTTGTACAGCATTAAATTCAAACTCTGCATTTGGCAGGTTTTTGTGAGCATTTTAAGAAAGAATTTGGTTTTAGTGTGAGTACCTGGGTTTTATAACTCCAGTGTTATTTGCAATGGTATTTAAGAGGTAAAATGTCAATTTGTAGTCTTATATTCTGGGGAAAAGGCTGACTATGACCTGGCAATAGACCTTTCTCTGCTGGCATTTTCTAAAACATTTGGAAACAGCATGGTCATTTTAACAAAACTTTCATGGCCCCCAAAATATTATGTTGTATGAACATCTTTAATATTAAATATATCAGCACTTGAATATGTGTTTCAATAACCCTTGTATTCAACCCTTATATTCATTGTATTATGATAAAAAATTAAGGTAGTTTTTAAAGGCAGGGTCAAATTGACATTTTATTAGATTTTTTCCCCAGTTCTGTGCACCTTCTTGAAACAAAATATTGACCTGCAAACCTCAAATACATAATAATAAAATTTGGTCAAGCCATTTTGCAACACATTAGAATGTTGAAATTGTGTATGCATGGCCATGATCCTAAATCAGAAAAGTCACAAGGTGTCATATAAGATAAAATAAAATAATAGGTTAATTGTAATTTTCAAGCCTGAACATAATGTAATTCTATAGTGTTAAGCAGTTTTCAATGGCTAGAAATGATTGACTACATATTTAGAATCACTTGTCTTTTTTGTGTCTATAGATTCTGCACTCCTTACCATTAACCAAAAAAATTGTTAACCATTTATCAGTGGCAAGGAAAGAGGGAATCAAGTGAGGCTTGGTCTCAGTTTTATACGAGTTTATGGGAAAATGTAACTTAGGGATTTCTGTTTACTTGGTATTCCTGGTTGGCTTTGGAGATGATTTTTGATCTAGTCTTATCAGAAATCGTACTAGAATAATTTGTAACGGGAGTTTGGGAATTTTCAACCTCGATATATATTCGGGATTAAAAATACATCATTTCTATGCTGTTTGTGTGTGTAGATTGTAGCTCCGGATGATAGCACAGTTTGTGCAGGCTGCAATAGGAATAATGTGAACATGTGCCTCAGTTTGCGTCACTGTAAAAAGAAAGATACAATGGAGTGTCTGATGTAATCAAACATAGCTGACGTTGATCAATGGTGCTGATGGGTATCAGTTACTGCAGAGACCCCGAGTGCCCCTCCAGACAGTGTATTTGTGTAGCTACTTGTGTTAGGATTATCTGTGAGTTTCTGTCATCTTTCATGAGTAATGACGAATTGAAACAAACTTTTTCAAACAATAAAAAAACTAAAATGTTGTACATCTAAGGAAAAAATTAAGAGACCACTAGAATGTTCTCCTCTTGATTTCCAATTTATAGTTCTGTGTTTGATTAAATCATAATGTGTGTTTGGTTCTGTAAACTACTGATGGCATTTGTTCTGTTTTAAATGAAATATTTTTTAAATATTTATTAATAATAATCTAATAATATAAAAATGGTTCCTTCAGACATGGTAACGTTTATTTTAGACAACACAATTTTGACATTATTTCAGAAATCAATATTTGGTGGAGTAACCATGATTGAAACAATTGTTATTCTGTCCCGCTGTCATTTTCTAGGAAAGAAATTCTCGAAATGACAATATTGTTGACATTTAAAAGAAATATTAGAATAAATAAAATGCTAACACTTTAAGCCTATTTCTATTAAAAGCAGTAAATTAAAGTAACTGAGAATAAAAATAGTTTATTTCTGCCATAGATGTACATTTGTATAGTCATTCATTCATTCATTCATTCATTTATTCATTCATTCATTTTCTTGTCGGCTTAGTCTCTTTATTAATCTGGGGTCGCTACAGCGGAATGAACCGCCAGCTTATCCAGCACGTTTTTATGCAGCAAATGCAGCACACACACACACACACACACATACACTACTGACAATTTAGCCTACTCAATTCACCTGTACAGCATGTCTTTGGACTGTGGAGGAAACCGGAGCACCCGGAAGAAACCCAAGTGAACGCAGGGAGAACATGCAAACTCCACACAGAAACGCCAACTGACCCAGCCGAGGCTCGAACCAGCGACCTTCTTGCTGTGAGGCGACAGCACTACCTACTGCGCCACTACGTCGCCCATTTGTATAGTCAAGTCAAGCTATTTGTTTAGCTTTTGAAACAATCACAATTTCTATTGTATGACATAAACATTTTATCAACAGATCCACACAACATTTGTTAAAAGGTCAGTCTCTTTTGTCCTCATACCAAGTTAAGACCAAGAAATGATGGACCTGCCATCTCAAATCAGTAATCAATAAAAAAATCAATATTGCTTTGACATCAGGTGGTAGATTTGCTCAGTGTCAATATTCAACAGGATTATGTTAAATAACAGCAGTGGTAAATCTAATTGTTTGGGAGCTGTGATCTTCAGAGAGACCATTCGCAGAATGAATTAACCTGGTTAGAGCAGTACAAATGAATGTGAAAATGTGTTTTGAGTGGAATGGCATCTCAATAGAGAAAGAAATGCTGATTTAACAAAAGGTGTATTTATCAGGCATGATTATGGGACTAGAAAAAACAAATTATTAAAGGCATTTCATCCAACCCGCAGTTATGATACAAATCTCCTGAACAGATATTTAAGTATGTCACCGTTAAAGAATGATTGTATTAAATTAAGCAAGAAGGTTGCTGGTTTGAGCCTCGGCTGGGTCAGTTGGTATTTCTGTGTGGAGTTTGCATGTTCTCCCCGTGAACACGTGGGTTTCCTCCAGGTGCTCCAGTTTTCCCCACAGTCAAAAGACATGTGCTTTAGGTGAATTGAATAAACTAAATTGACTGTAGTGTATGAGTGTAAATGTTAATGCGTGTGTATGAGTATTTCCCAACACTGGGTTGTGGCTGGAAGGGTATCTGCTGCTTAAAACATATACTGAAATAGTTGGCAGTTCATTCTGCTGTGGCAACCTCTGAAATAGAGACTAAGCTGAAGGAAAATGAATGAATAAATAAAAGTCTAACCAATGCCCCATCTGCCACTGGTTGAATAAACAAATAGTAATATTTGCAGTCAAATTCACACCATTGGCTGAGCCAATATAGATGCTTAAACATGCAGCAATGTTTCAAATCTACTGTATCTAGAAAGGACTTATTCATTGTCTGTATTATCTCATAAAATGTAATCACTTCCTTAAACACATACATACACACTCTTTTTTTTTTAAACTGCAAAGAACTTTTAAATCATTTAAAGAACATTTTTCCATCAATGGCAATAGAGAACCTTTATTTTTAATTGTGAATGGTCATGAAACCTTGTTTTATCACAAATTTTTAAAAATGTTGAAATAGAGAGTGTGTTAACTTTACTCTCATTCAGTTAAAAGCATACAAGTTTTCCACAAATACACACTGCAAATCACTGTTACATGCAACAAAATTAGCTCATATTCTATTTTTATATTGTTTTGTAAGGTTACCTTATCTCACACCCCTGACTGCTACACTCTTAGAAAAAATATTCTAATTAGTGCCAAGTATGGTTCTTAAGCTTGTAAAAATAGCAGAAACACTTTTGGTTCCGAATAGTTGCAAACGCTTTTCATACGGTTCTATAAAGAAACATGCTTTGAAAATGTTATATAGGACCTTAAAAAAATGTTTATTTATATTTTCATAAATATTACTGTTAATATTAGAATATTAAGTTTAGATATTATTTAATAATACAATTGATTTTTTTATTATCAAGAAAAATTATGGGGTATATTTTAGTTTTTATGTATAAACCCAAGTATAATTAGGGAGAAGAAGAAAAAGCCTCTCTGTACCTACCCAGAGAAGAAGAGGCATTCTTAGCTGAACAGAACTTGTCACATGTTCTGTTAAGATAAAAATAAAAATAACAGAAAGATAACATTATTGGTAGGAAACAAGTTACATTTTGAAAGATACAATAAATAGACAAATGAAGAAAGAATTC